GGCCCCACAGCGTCCCTTTCTGTAAGTTTAAGTCTATACCTGTGAAACGTGCTATTCAGGGAACTGAGATGCCCTGTGGAATCCCTGTGGAATGGAATTACTGAGTTGGCGCTTCTCCGACGCTTCAGGTCTGCGTGTTTCGGGCTATGGAGTGTATCAGGGGGCTCAAAACGTGGGATGAAGGTAGGTGGGGTAAAGGAAACAAGCCCCAACATAGTAGAATCTACAATAGGGATCCTGTAGCTCACCTAGCTTTATCCCACCTTTTGAGCCCCCTCAGTGTAGCATGGGGTTTGGGGTTTCGAGTAGGGCATTGAGAAACTACCAGTCTTCACTGCGGCGCCCTCATATAGATATATAGTTGACATGGTGAAGTAGCTGTACTCAGAGGTTCAGGATAAATACAGTCTAGTTACAACTGTACTTTTGCCCTCTAGTATGGTCTAAAAAATTTGAAGGGGTCATAAGTACCAGTTATCCGTGGGCTGTATGAAGAGCCGCATGAGCTTAAGGTCAGCTCCTTGCAGTCCTGATCGTCTTACTTGGAGGTTCATGGGAAATAGTAAGTACTTATAACTGGGCTTGTAACCCTACCTATTAACACCACGGAAATTGGTACTTCTGGCGCAGGTAGAACCATACTAGAGACATTGGGAGGCCTAAAATAGGGTTAGAAGTGCACAGCTAAGCAAGTCGGAACTACCCTGAACCTCCAAGTAGGCCTTACTTAGGGTTTAGGGGTTTGGGGGTTTAGGGTGTGGGGATCCTTTCTGTATCTCTGAAAAACCACGAGGCCTTTATTTGAACGCTCGAGGAGAAACGACTTCAATGGACAATAAAGTGGAAAGTCTCATTCATGCAGCAAGGGATGGTAAATGGACTACGATGAGGATCCATTGCTTCTTTCCTTGCTGGCCGGAGGTAGCTTCAGGAACGAGCCCCTCAACCCATAACCCTAAGCGCTAAACCCAAATGAAGCTCACGCCTTGGAGCACAGTTAATTTACTACACGCGGGACTGTGCAAACGACTGTGCCATAGCTGCTTGGGGTTTTCTAGGGATGATGTAAAATAAGATGGAAGCTACTAATATATACAGGGGGGTATATGGGGGTTTTCCAAGGTTAGGGACGTAGTGAGAACAACTCCTCGGAAAATGGGTAGACACCACCAAACCGGAACCCTGAGCCTTCAGCTGACCTTATTCAGGCGTCAGCGTCAATGCCAAAACCCAAGACCTGCAGCCTAGACAAGTGAGGAAGGGCCGAACCAAATTGACCAAGTTCTACAACTACTGCTGGGGTGGGCTTGGTGCTGTGCAAACCCTAAATCCTAAACCGTAAAACCTAAATCCTAAACCCTAACCCCTATAAACCCTCAAACCTGAACCCTAAACCCTAAATCCCAACCCTTCAGCCGTAAAACCTAACCCCTAAACCCTAAAACCTAAACCCTATAAACCCTAAATCCTAAACCCTTCAGCCGTAAAACCTAAACCCTTAACCTTAAACTGGCTCTGGGCATAGCGATGGACCCCATGGGGATCCTGAGCCTTGAGAGCGCTGAACCTTTCTTGGAGGTTCATGTGACTTAGTAAGGGTTTAGGGAGCTAGGGTTTAGGGTTTAGGATTTAGGGTTTAGGGTTTAGAGTTTAGGGTTTAGGGTTTAGGGTTTAGGGTTGGAGGTTCATGGGACTTAGTAACTATTTATAATTGGGGTTATAAGCCTACTTATAGTGGGGGTAACCCCTATAAGGTCATTTAGGGGGGTTATAAGTAGGGTTATAAGCACAGTTATAAGTAGTTGCTATTTCCCATGAACCTCCAAGCAGAGGAATCATGCTAAGCCACCGGTAGCCCTAGATGGTTTAGGGTCTTAGGGCTTAGGGTTTGTTAGTTTCCCAAAATATGAGGACCCCAACATAGACCCCAAAATATTATGGTCCTTACTTTTGAGAAAGTTCCATTGAGGTCTAGGTGCCACTTTTGAGGCCCTATAGCCGCAGTTCAGCCTACTGGGAGGGTCCTGGTGCTGAACCTGAACTTGCAACACTTTCCACCGCTCAAAGGCCACTGGTCCAGCATTCGGCAGCGGCTCGTCTCTGCAAGGGAGCGGGGCACAGGGTATAGCTTTTGGTGCGGATTTTGGGTTTCTGTGTGGGAGTCTTCGACAGCCTTTAGCCCTCCAAATCATGGGTATGTTGGCTCTTATAATCCCTAGAAGCCCAGTTACCTATATATTGGGTTCCTGTCCTTGGGTCCCTGTATAAACGTATACTATCTATAACCCAAGAACCTACTATATGGGTACCTGGGCTTCTAGGGAATGGTGCTTGTGAGATCTAGGTACCGCGGGTGAAGTCTCAGGCCGGACCCTCGCCTCAACCCGAGGCCCTAACTCCTAGAAGGTTGCTGGGGCTTAGGGCTAAGGGTTTAAGACTAGGGGTTTAAATGCACCGACCCACACTTTCTGAAAGTAAGATTTCATTTTCTGGCTCCAACCCTAAAGCCTAAACACTAAACCTGAAACCACGTGAACTTTTGAAGCTCCGGAAACTCACCTCTTGAGCTTACTCCCTGCAACTTGAACCCTCGCCCCTAACCGTATAAGCCCTAATCCCCCCCTAAACCCTAACTCCCTAAGCTTAGGGTTTAGGGTGTAGGGCTTAGGGCTTAGGGTTTGCCCTAAACCCCTGAGCCCTAAACCCTGAAGTCCTAGATCCTGGAATCCACAACTCAACGACACACAACGCCCAGGAGCATGCTCACTCCACGGTGCACCCTGAACCCCAACCCTACTGGGTTGCTGTTAGGGGACTTAAATTAAGTTACCATAGTCGGTATATATAGATATAATACGGTTTTCGCCAATCGAATAACTTAAGCTAGGCTCCTTAGCAGCAACCAACCCTAACAAGCCCAGGAGCATGCTCACTCTCTTCTACTCTATCACTGGTGGTCTCTCTTGGTCAGAAGCCTTGGCCTCGGCTGTTGGGAGGATGTTTTTTTGGGTGGGTTAGGTAGGGTTTATAAGGGTTAGGGTGTATATAGCATGTGTGATGTATCCACATGAGCTATAGTCTAAACTGACTAAAGGGGTTTTGTAGGGCATTATTTAGGAGACTATAATATAGGGTCTGATAACTATGGCTCACATGAAAGGTGGTTAGTTGGCAAAGGTGAGAAGGACATGCGCGGGTTCCTTCGCGTACCCTGACGAGTGTAGGGATCTACGAGCCTTGCAAAGGCATTCAGGGGTTCCCCTCGGGATGACATATACTTGGAGGGTCAGGTTGAGTTGGTCAGTAGGTTCATAATGCGGACAGCTAGGTTTGCTGTATAGATTATGGGGCGATAATATATAACCTACTTACTACATCCCCCTGACCCTAGACCCTACAGTTTCTACATCCCCGTCCCCCTGATCTTTCAAGTATGCGGGATGTTTTGAGAACCCCACTTACACCCAAAATCCGGAGCAGGAAGTGAAGCCTTACCCCAACCCCCACATAATGAGCCCAGGCTGGTAGTTTAGAGCTTACTTGGAGGGTCAGGGGACTTACAAAGTAGGTTAAGAATGGGGATAACTAGGGTTACTAAATGGGTTATGATTATTAACCTGGTTACTAGGGTGTGTATCGTGTGTGAGCGCGGAGTGGGCGCGCTTTAAAGAGTGCCCACGCTTCGCACGCTCGCGTTGCTAGAGGTCCCACCCCAACCACCCTGACTATTCTCAATTAGTGCTAGGGCTCCTACAGCCCAAACGCTCCAGCAAGGGCGGCTTACTTACAGTTTCTTGCAATTTCGCGTGTCATTGCCATCGCAGGGTACGGAACAACGCCTCCGACTCTCTACAGTTCCGAGTGTCCTTCTCATCATCGCGCAGCGAAGCGTTTAGGTTATTGGGGCTTACGCATCTCGTCAGCTGCTCGCTTTGCAGATTAAGTGCCGAGCAACCTTCTAGGGAAACACCGTTTCGGTGCTCGGTGCTAAGACAACAGGCAACTGGCTGAGCTTCTGGCCAGAAAAGTGGGTAGCGTGCTTCCGCACGTGGCCGGTATCATCATCAGAACCCGAGCACCTTTTCTTGGCCTTGCGTGTTTTCGTGGGAACCGTGCTGCCGATCAGCGCACGGTGCTTGGGCAAACAGCCCGCGAGGGACGCTTTGAAGCTTGGGGTGCCAAGCAGGTGGCCAGGGAGCCATTCAAAGGCACCGCCCCTAAATGCTGTCTTAATATAAGGAGCAGGCTCCGACTGAAGGGGGTCACGGGGCTCAAGCGCCGATGTATACACTGTGGCCAGTTTAGGGTTTAGGGTCCCATATCTTGGGACCCCACTTATTGTAATAGTGGAATAATACAAATAGAAGCTGGCAAAACTACGCATATTTGTAGTCACTATTATTGGATGGGGGGGTCCACCTAACACATATCTTCTGCTGACTGGTTCAAGAAAACATTCCTTAGCACGGCGGCAGTCGAGGTGGGTAGCGTCTACCTTGGGATGGTGTGTCTTCTGGCCTAGAGCAGGGCCGAACACTGCCCATAAAGCGCCCGAGGCAATGATCCCTCTTGAAGATGTCTCTATGCTGGCTGTGGCAACCATGCTGATCTATATTACGCTTAGCGTGTTCACCATTCTGCCCTTCGGCTCATGATGTAATAATTATTTTGATGTGTTTTTGGTGCCTCTAGCTTCAGGGCTATGCGGTGAAGCATGCATGTTTCTGGGCTTCATGAGGACTTCTCGCCAAGTAAAGGCACAGGGGCGATTATGCGTGGAATACGTATCTTTCAGTTGCCCGTTGCTCCAGCAAGCCTTTGGCAGCAGCAGCAGCAGCAATAGCATGTCATTATCATCATTATCATTATCGCTATCGCTGTTACTATTGTGGTTACTAGTATTATATGACGACTCGTATTATTCCTATTCCTAAGAGTATTACTATAATTATTCCTGTTACTATTATTACGACGTCAGCAATAATTATGGCATTCAACCTTCCGCACTTGTCCTAATGGTTGTCTATGTAATCAGGAACCTTTACGATCCTTTACGTACATACACGTGTATACACATAGGTAGGCTGTCGGGCAGGCACGCCGGTTGGTATGTGTCATGTATGTAAGTATAGTTTGCTGGAATACTGCAGAATGGGCAACTGCATGTTGGCCATGTAATTTTGCACCTGGACTATGGTCAAGTTGAGCTTTTGAGATTTCGTCCATGTCTTGATGAAGAGCCACTGCAGTCAAGGAACGTCGTGACTGGTGTGTTTGTAAACACGGCCATCGAACGTGCAAGCGCTGACAAAGAGATTGCGTCACTCAAGACGCTCCAGAACCTTGGGCTCTTCAGCTCCTGCGTTTTTCAGTTTGGTACTGGTAAGAGGTGTTGCCCTGGTAGCCAGTCAACCCGAAATTGATGGTTGTTCCCAAACAACCAATTCCTAAGCATGGGCCTAATCTACAATAAAGGGTGGTTTGGGAACAAGTTGTTTGTTTGTTTTTTTTGCTGCCCAGGTGGTATTTGCTGAGATATAGTCCGCCTTAAGTAGATAGAATATGGCTTTGGGTAGATTATAATAAGATCCCCATATTCCCGGTATTCTATCTACTTAAGGGGGACTATAAAGCTACGAACCCTTGAGCTAACCTTGACCCAGATCAATGTGAATTGTTCTTCCCCAAGTCTAGTTTTGGACATTTTCTGATTTTCTTGCTAACTGCCTTTTGCGGATCAAGAATGCCTGGACTCTGGTACTTGGCAGGGTAGCATTCTGCCCATTCGAATTCCAGGTTGACCAGTGGTATACGTTTTTCCTTTTCGGGTTTCTGGGTTCCAAAGATGCTGCCATTAACCCCAAATGTACCCTAGAAGCCCAGTTACCTATACATTGGGTTCCTGTCCTTGGGTCCCTGTATGAATTTATGCTTCCTATAACCCAAGAACGTACTATATGGGTACCTGGGCTTCTAGGGGTATTTGTTTTTTCCTCAAGGGTTACTGAACAGCCCGGAATTTCGATTGAGCATACTCGAGGTGAGATCTTGTCGTCCAGGCACTTTTTAGGGCTTATAGAGTGCACCAGGTCCCGGTTGAGGTGAAGTAGGTGAAAGCTGTTAAAACCCCTAAACCTTAAATTGGGATGCAACGAATAATCTGCATACTTACCTGGACCTCCATACCCTCCCCCCTGTTCAGGGTACCTAATTTTGTATAGAAAATACTAGATTACTAGACATGAAGTTAGGTATCTTAAGCAAGTGGTAGGGTATAGTGGTCTAGGTAAAGCAGTGCGGGCTTGACTTCTTGCCGTGGAGGCTGTAGGGCCCGGAAGAGGCCGGCGATCTCGGGCTAAAGATTGGGGACCCTAAACCTTGAACTCAAGGATTCAGGTTTATGTTTGGGGGGTTGAGAGTCGACCAAATACAGATCGGAATTGCTCAGATGGCATCATTCGCACCATGCAGGCAGCCTGGCCAGAGGCAAATTCCACATAAATGAACGGAGGATTTTGGGTCTAGGATCAGTCAACAAGAGAGTACTCCCAGACAATGAAGCAAGAATTGAAATTCCCCCCCTTCCTTGGTGCATAGGATGCCCTGATGCTGAAACTCTCCATCCGCCTATCCATCCATCCATCCATCCTTCCTTCCATCCATCCATAGATACATAAGATGCATGCGACACCGGTATACCATGTGTCTATGCATAGCCGCCAAGAAGGCTGCCGAGCGTATCCCCATTATATGTGTATACACCGCTTCATAGCCCTACATATCTTTTTATGACCCTGTCTACCTCTCTATAACCCCATATACCCCTTTGTAACCCGATATGCCCTTTTATCACCCTATATACCTCTTAATAACCGCGTATACCCCTTTTGTAACCTTATATGCCTCTTCGTAGCCGTATATACGTCTATAACTTCAGATACCCTAAACGTTAAGCCCTAAACCCTAAACCCTAAGCCCTAAACTCTAAACCCTTTAGAACCCCAAAATATCTCCATTGAATGCCCAGCCGAGGAAGCGGAATGAGCAAATGCAAGCGCTTCAGAGCGCTGCCCGGCTTTAGGGTTTTGGGTTTGGGCTTTGGAGTTTGGGGTTTCGGATTTAGGGTTTAGGGTTAAAAGGGTTTAGGGTTTCGGATTTAGGGTTTAGGGTTTAAAGGGTTTAGGGTTTCGGATTTAGCGTTTGGGGTTTGGGCAAAGGAAAAAATGGCAAGTATGACCATGGGTCATATAGGGACTACTGTAAGAATCCAGTTTTTCGTTCCTCGCTAACCACGGGTGACTAGGCACTAAACGGGACTAACTGGGTGAGCGTGCGATGAGAGGGTCGGGTTCAGCGTTTAGGGCTTCGGGTCTAGGATTTAGGATGAGGGGTTAGGGTTTAAGGTCTAGGATCTAGGGTTTAGGGCTTAGCGTTTCAGGTTTAGGGTTTGGAGTAACCCCCTCGTACCAATATTAAACCGTCCCCAACCCCTAATTATCAAATACGGCCCCTAGTATCTAAGGTCTTTTACAGGGAAATCGTATACTATTAGGGCGTGTGGGGGGGGGGGGCAGGCGGGCGGGCCGTGGTGGTGTGTAACGTTCGTATGAGAAAATAAGTGACAACAACATTATGATTCTATAGCTTTCTTGTAGGGTTATATCGGGGATGAACGTGCGTAGATTTCGGTGTCAGGGATTCTCACCGGCTAATGGAGCAAATTGAAGGAAAAACAGAAAACGAAATGGACAGTGGGCTTGCATAGGGGCCCTATACCCTAAGCTTCAAATATGGATCCTCAGATGCTCAGGGATAGGGCAAGATTATCCATCTCATTGGTCCCAGGCTCCTATAGACTTTTTGTTTAGGGTACCCCAAGTAGACTTCATGCCCCGTTTCTAGGAGCAGTATACGGAGGATCTGGAAACTGAGGGGCCCTTAAAGCTGACCACAACTCCATAACCTACTGTAGGAGTGTTTTCAGGCTTGGGCAGGAGGATGTGTGCACAGTCTGCATGCTGCATGTCATGTCTTGTGGGGTGTAAACATTCTGGTTCAGAGTGAAGCATCATGGCCTTAGCCGTTGTCTTCACGCTTCGCAGTTCAAGTTACCTGCAGTACCGGCATCGAAGAGCTAATGCACCCCCATAGAACCACCAGGAAAGAGAACAAGGAAAAACGAGAGCGCAATGCTAAACTCTATAATCACAGCGAATCTAAACGACAATAGGCCCGGAATCCTGACACGGTTTAGGGTTTAGGGTTTCCTGATCCCTCAACTCTATACCCTTACCCTGAGGGTCCTTGGACCCTTAGGGTCAAACCTGAAGGTATTTGAGGAGATGAACCAAGAGAGGGGCTCGGACCAGCTGAAGGCACAACCTCTGCGCAGTTTGTAGTTGAGGTCTCGTGGGTTTACTGGGAGATATGCAGGATTATGAGGGGAGGGCTTAGGATTTAGGGTTTTGGACCCTCCAATGTTACTAATCCTTACCAAAAACCCATACCAAACCCCAAAAGGAACTACATTGGACGGTCTAGGTAGGGTTTCGGGATGATTAGGGGACAGGATTGTTTCTGGTCTATACGGTTGGGGTTTTGGAACTTCAGCGCTAAACCGTAAACTCATTCCGCCACGTGCCAGGGACCCAGAAATTCCCATAGGACCCCTTGTGAGATTTTAGGGTTAAGGGCTTAGCGGTGCAGGGTTTATAGGCGGTTTTAGGGTTTAGGGTTTAGCGTTTGCAGTTAAGGGTTTGCGGTTAGATACGTGGCATGCAAGGTTACTTAGAGGGACTTGCTATTTCGGCTTGGGTAGGCAAGGGTATTACGAGCTTGTCTAGGGGTCCTAAACCCTAAACCCTGACCCAAAGCTTAGGGGGTTAAGACCTAGGATGTAGTGCTCGCGATGTGCCTTCCAGAAAGCTGACATGGAACCCCCAAAAGGGGTGCTATAAGAACCTTTTAGACGACGGTGGGGCAGGGTGGGAGTCCTGATCTAAGGCTTTTTGCTACTTAGAGGTCCACAAGCTCTTATCCAAGATATCAGTGTATAGTCGTAGCCATATTTGGGTATTCAGGGAGCCTGTTTTTTTGGGTTCTGTTAAGCGTAGGGAACTACCCATGAACCTTGTGCTACTGTTGCACACAGCCTTCCGCCTTCACAGACAACACAGCTTTCATCGAAGGTCGGCTAGGTAGTTGCCTCTTGTCCTCATGACACTGGGGTCTTGCGATCTGATCAGGGTTTGGGGATTAGGGTTTCGGAGTTAGGTATTAGGGACTAGAGTGCAGGGTTCGGTTTAGGGGTACTATCCGGAGCAGTGGGGAATCAAATGGAAGAAGAACATGCAGAATGATATGGAAATTCTGAGTTCAAACGGAATATGAGGCGGAAACTTGAAACCTATTACATGTACATAATTATACCTTATGGTGTCTCCTGCAAGAGGTCGAGGACATCGAAGCAGCCGTGAATGTGGACAAGTTAGACTCGGTTTTAGCTTCTTGGCCTTTGCCAGTCAGGTCTGGATTTGATGCATTTTTGTCAGGCTTGGGGGGTAAGTTTCAGGGTTTCAGAGCGCTCAAAACGTGGGGTAAAGGAAGGTGGGGTATAGGAAAATCAGCCCCAATATAGTAGAGTATATACTAGAGATCCTTTAATGTTTGAGGTACTGTCAACATTAGTTTTATCAAGGGACTCTTAAGGATGGACCGAAGGGGTATCTCTGGTAGTGAACCATGGATTGTCGCTGACTCAATTCAAAATGACGTGGATCATACCTGCATAGATGATGGTCTACTTCAGGGACCCCAGTCCGTATGCAAGAAAGCTCCAAGCGCTCGAAGAGGGATCCTTTGAATTCCTGGGCACCAAGAAGCACATGTGACTCAGGATTTGCCAGTTTGCAAGCAAATGTGCTTTAAGGCTGCGTGTGTTCAGCAAGAATCCGGAAGCTTCGAGTCGCAGACTAAAAGCAGAACCAAGGCAATCAAAAGCAAGTATACAAATCCGGAGATGAATTACTCTAATTCGAGTCCTCGACTATAGATGCTTATAATGACCTGAGTCCCTATACAGCGTTTGCTCCACAGTTTGGGAACAAGCTCTCGGATGCACACCTTGCTGAGGAATCGCTTGGCATATCTACGGATGATGTGAAAACTTTGTTCAGCCTGATCGTGCCTTGGCGGCACTTTGTTAACGGGCACAAAAATCGAAGTACCAGCTTCGATGGCATTGAGCCAACATTTAGTGGTCGAACTAATTTGGTGCACAGGGTCACCCAGGGTCTTGTCCTTCAATCGTAGTTAGTACCTTTTCATGGCTACTTGCAGCAAAAGGGAGGCCAGTTTGACAGCAAACAATGCTTTCCGGTAATCAGAGAAATAAATGTCAGTGAGAGTATTCCTCATGGCCACGAGTCACATTGAAGATCTCGACCAACCTAAAAGTAAGAGCAGGGACGGTCAGCTGTAGTGTTCAGAAGTGATGCGGTTTAAGTTGCTAGGTCGCGTTTACCCCATGCTCGCAAAACAAGGGCCCTATTGTAGTCACATGACCGGTAGAGGGTACTAATTCGGCGAGTACGGGTTACCAAAACCCTTTCACTAGAGTTGGAGCGGGCGGGGCGTTATCTTGCAGGGAGCCATGAATCATTAGATAATGATCGTGTAATACACCCCTCCCCCGACTTTCTGGCAGGTTTGCATAGACGTCTGAATAGCTCGTTCACTTTAAACTAAATGAGCTACGAACTAAAGTTACGTTGGGGTGGACCTATAGGGGAATATGTAGGGTTTTGGTGGGACCTATAACGGAATATACCAGAAGTTTAGTCCAGGGCTCAAATCTTGAGGTGTTAAGTTTCACCCAAGTGCTAGTACCGCAGCGACCCTCTGACTACCCGTAAACACTACATTTGCGTCCAAACTCCGACAAACACAAACGGGTTTAGGGTTTAGGGCTTAGGGCTTAGGGTTTAGAACACCCATGGGGTCCAACCTGCGAAAAGCGCCGTCCGTTATGCATGGGAGGGTCAAGGCGTCCCCAGATTCAAAAAACAAGAACCCTGGTCACGCTTGCTCACTCACAGCCTTATGAGCTTCCAGTCTGTGCAAATGATGGAGAAATGATTGATACTGCAAATCCTGCATGACCTTATGGACCCTCACCTGAGAAATTATAGCGTTTTAACAGACCAAGCCATACATCCTGAACCTGAACCCTCAACTCCTGGCATCCAAGGACACGGATGGCAGTGGAGCGATAGACCTGCAAGAGTCCCACTGCCGCAGCTGATGGTGTGGGTGCTTCTGAAGTCGACATGAATGTAGGCATGGGTTAGGGGTTCCGGGGTTTAGGGGTTGGGGGTTTAGGGTTTAGGGGTTTAGGGTGTAGAATTTAGGGTTTAGGGTTTAGGACTTGGTTCGAAGTTTTGGGTTGCCTTGGTCTGCTAAACCTCCAGGGTTTGGGTCTCAGGCAGTTGGTGTGTATACGGCTATGTGGGATTTATGGCGCTGAGGTCAGGGGCTTAGGCTTGAGGATCCCAAAAGCCAAAAGTACTTAGAATTACACCCCTAAACTTAAAACAACAGCCATGAAGGCCATTACTGTTGATGGATGAACTCTTGCACCACCTAGGGGCTTTCAAGTACTGTAATTCCCAGGACTTTAAGGACTTAAGGTGGTGCAAGATTTCCTCCATCAACAGTATGTTACATACTTTTGGGGTCCAGGTAGGGCTCAGCATTGAAGATCTCGGGCTGAGTGCTTAGTTGGGACATGGCCATCCTCACGCCCAAAAACATGCCTGGGCAATAAACATGTCTGGGCAATTTAAGGCGACCTCACGCGACCTCACCCTTAAATACTGGTATATACAGTGCGTAATACTCAAATGTCCTTAAATTGGGGACTGAGATTATTCTAAATTACCCTGACATGTTCGTCAACAAATAGTCAGTACATGGCTTTAGGTTTAAAGTTTAGGATCTAGGCAGCTCGGCCATGCTTCGTGGGACCTTGGACTTATGAAAGTTTAGGGGTTAACGGTTGAGGGTTTAGGCTTAAGGTATCATGTCCCCTTCTTGAATCTGTTTTAACACCGTTGAAGGACTGTTGAACTTTTGATCCCATTGCATGCGTTTATGAGTAGACTTCCTAAGGCAATAGTAGCCCTAGGACATCACAAAGTGGGGTATGCTTAGGGATTCTGCCCCCACTCATTAACAGTTGGATAATATTTATAATATAGTTATCGAGCGCCCTTAATATGACCCGGAATATGGACTGTTACTGGGCAGGACCCAGAGCATGCTACCTTACCTTACCTGTAGCGGGCTAAGTATAGGCAACTTAGTTTGACTTCAGCTGATGTCTGGCATCCCTTTTCATGTTCTACCATATTTCTGCAGGCCTTCACTCACGCTAGGGCTTTAGGGTTTAGGGCTATTACGGGTCTAGGGTTTAGGGCTCAGCGTCTAAGGCTTAAGGGTTTTAGGGTTCAGGGTTCAAGGGGCTAAGGGTTTCGGGTTCAGGGTTTCGATTTAAAGCGTTTAGGGCGCAGGTTTTCAGGATCAAGGTTTGAAGGGTTTCTTGGGTTTACGGCCCTAAGATCCTACACTGCTTCATGCTCAACCTCAGGCCATGCAGTAAAGGTGCAAGTCTGGAGGGGTTCCTCACTCAAGATCAGGTACCTTTGGAGACCCTTGGGGACCCTCGCGACCAATAGGATTGCAGCTTATTGTTGGGTTCCCGTCCATGTCAGTGCTGCTTCCGCTGTAAGTTTCAACTGACAAGGAAGGTCACATGCAAGGACAGTTGTCTGAAAGATGCCCTTACCAACTTGAACTCTTCTAGTTTACGAGTTCCTGAGGTGTATTCGAAATAGTAGTACTGCATGCCCCTAAACCCTAAATCCTAATCTCTCAACCCCTAAACCCCTAACTCTAAACCCTAAACCCTATAAACCCTAAACCCTTAAACCCCTAAACCCTAAACCCCTAGCCTAGTTGGGATAAACAGGCTTCTGCAGGGCATGGTGGGGGGGCACCCCATTTTTTTTGCTTTTAGGGTTTAGGATTTGTGGGGTTTAGGTTTTAGAGTTTAGGATTTCTAGGGTTTGGGGTGTAGGGTTCAGGGTTTTGGACTTTTAGGGTTTAGGGTTTAGGGTTTCAGGGTTAGGGTTTAGGGTTTGACTCCACCAACCAAACAAGGGTTCTTTAGCAATGATATGATGGTGAAGAGGACACTTGCCATTGGAGATGGGGCTACCAAATTCAGACTGGGTTGTTGTTAAGGAACTAAAGCTCAGTTAACGTAATTGTGCGTATAGCAAATAATAGGGTTTCCTTATTATAGAAACTCAATCTAAAACCCTTAGCAGCAAATCCACAAGGGTACATTTGGGCTTTGTCTTGGAAAGCCCTTCCCAATGGGGGCTTGGGGGGGCTTCAGGGTTCACACATTCTGTGTATGTATATATGTATGCATGGCGTCCAGAACTTAAAGGCCTTACATTGGAGGAAGAGGTGTTGCGCACCTCCAGACAGTACTTTGTTCTTGCTAGGTCTGCCAATTCAGTGATGCCCCCTGTACCTCCAGAGGCAATCCTCACAATGGCTGCCATCATCGACCTCTAAACCCTAAACCCTAAACCCTAAACTAAACTGCTATATCAACCCCATCTGCCCGCGACTGTACTGACAGAGCTCTCGCTCGGGCTTGGGAATTCTCAAGACCTGGAACCAAAGCCCCCCAGCCCGGGCATTAGGTTCGTGTCGGGATGTATGCAACTGCATGGCCCAGCGCGCAGTATGCAGCCTGGCGAATAGCAATGTAGCTTCCACCTCCAAATGTTTGAAATACTTCAAGGGTCCCCCAGGAAAAGTTGGGCCGTTCCAGGGCAAGGTTTGGGCGTTGTAGGCTGGGGCTTGCGTTCTTTTTATGAGGGGAGGGCCCAGAGCCTTAAGTGGTTGAGGGTTTAGGGTTTAGAACATCATTTGGAAAAAATAAGAATTACAACAATATCCCTAAACCCTAAACCCTATCTAGGGTTCAGTGCTTGGGGTCATCCTTTGCAAGAGCGAGGTCCAAGAAGTTCGGCCTCGGCAGCAACAAGGGCCCCAAACTTCACCCTCAACACCCTAAGCCTTACATGAGCTATAGTCTAAAAAACTCCTTAAAAGGGGGTATATATAGGGGATTATATAGGGGACTACTATAGGCTATAATAGTCCCCTATATAATCTCCTATAAAACACCCCCTTTAAGGAGTTTAGAATATATATAGGGGTTATTAAGGGGGATGCTAGGAGTTTAGACTATAGCTTACATGCCTCTACAAAGGAGTGCAAAGGTCGCAGCTTTAAACAGATGGTATTCCGACGCTCACCAAATGCCCTTTATTTAGGCCTAAGTTATTATAGGGACCCCAAAAGCCCGATAAAGGGTATTAGGAGGGTCCTGGTCCCTGAAAACATATATCATCGCAGTTTCCGTTTCATGTTTCATGTTCTTGTTCATTTGATTCTCCGTTGTTCCTATTTATGCGCCCAAATCAGGGCACTTGGCCACAAGCCCTAATCCCTAGCCCCTGTACCCTAAACCCCAGACCCTATGAGCCCTATATTTCCCTTCATACCCTTATATAACCCCTTTACATCCGTTTATGCGCTTATATAACCCCCATACGCCCCATCAAAGGGACCCCTAATTTTGGGAGACCTTTCAAATACTTACAATAATGGCTTTCAAGCCGAGAATAGCGGGTAGAATTTGGGTATCTCTGCTAGTACAAGTGTTTGGGAAGTCTAGGTAAAGGTTTAGAGGTTACTGCTAATCACGCAAAACCCTAAAAACCTTAAACCCTGAACCCTAAACCCTAATCCTAAACCCTAACCATAAACCCTAACCTAAAGCCCAAGGAGGTCCTGGTTCAAGGCGTCCCTCAAGGTTGAACTTTGAGACTCTGAACTTTGTGTTTAGGGGTCCCTAGGTGCCGGGTACCTGCAATCATCAGGTTTAGGGGTGGGGGGGGCTTAGGGTTTCGGGTATAGTGAGGGTTTAGGGATGTACGGTATAGGGTTTAGATAGGGTTTAAGTATATAGTATTCAACTGTGTCCCGAAGCCATCTCTATATATGCAGGTACTTTGTGGCCACGGTATATACTAGATAGGTACCTGCATCCTGTAAAAGGTGTGCTTCCCCAACCTGGCGGTCGCCCAGAAGCCACACACAAAACGCGGAGATTTCTTGTCACAAGGGCCAGACCCTTTGCGCGCGCCTCACCCATGAATCCACCTTACCCTCTAAGCCATTTACCTAAACTCTAAGAGGCTTCAAGCCTAGACCCTAATCCCTAAACCCTAATCCGCAATCCCTTAACCCTTAAACCTCCTAGAAACATTAAAGCCCAAGCCTCAGAAAGGCAACTGGCGAAGATGGGCTATGAGAACAAGCGCATCGCAGCATCCTTGAAAAAGCTCTTGAGCCAGGCAACGATCTGAAGTAGGGATTAAGGATTAGTGTGTAAGGTTTAGGGTGTAGGGGTTTAGGGGTTTAGGGGTTTAGGGTTTAGGGGTTTAGGGTTTGGGGTTTAGGTTGATGGACGTACCTTCATCACCGCAAGGGCTAGGAACGACATGGTCTTTACTCGTTGTTCTTTGGGTGTTCTGTTTTGGAGTCTACGTAGCGGCTGTGTAGGCATATGCCAGGGAAAGAAGAGGGGTTCCAGTTGGAACGCACAAAGGCCGTCTTGATACTTTGGCTTTTCCTTAGTACAGCAGGACACGCACACATCAGGCTCCATTCGTTTTAGGCGTCATCAGGAAAGCCCAAAACCTACACCCGAAACGCTGACAACCCTAAGCCTTGGGTACTGCCCCCCCTCAGTAACAGTTCGATAATACTTATAATATGATTGCATATAGCCATTAATAGGACGACCAGGATGCCCTGTGGGATGAATTTATGGATGATGTTTTGGGTGGCGGAGAACCTGGGTCCTGAAGCACAGGACCCAGTCTTGAGGCCCTGCATTATCAAAAGCTTGTTGAAATTCAACAGCTTTTGATCGACATCTCCGGGAGGATTCCACAGCTTGCTGTACCTGCCACCCCCAGCGGTGGCAGCGCTGCTCCACACCAGTAGTGAACAGGGGGCCATTTCAGCGGCAACGGACCGGAAAACGCCGTGCCCCCTGTGGAGGCTGCGAAGCTTGCAGAGCTTCAAAGAAGCCACGCAGCATGCGATGCATGAATCCAACGGTGTGCGAAGTGCACACCATGGAGCATTGGGTACCCGTGCGGGACCCGAAGGCCAAGGCTAAGGCGAAGGCCAAGGCCAAGGCCAAGCCCAACCAAAACGCAGATTAGAGCATGGGCATCATCGGGGTGGAGGTATAGTCTTATAGTGGCATTGTGGCTATCATGGCATTATATAGTATATACACATATATTATAGCTGCTCGGGTTGTGGTGGCGAATTTTCCTCACAGGGGAACGGGCCCCTTGAACTTTCCTGATTTTTCCCTTTCTCCAATCCCACAGCCCTAACGCCCCGACCCCAAAACATCAAGCCTATAACCTACCTGGACCCCAAAAGTATGTAAAATAATTGCCTTAATGGCTATTATTATGGGTTTAGGGCTACTATTTGGCATACTTTTGGGGTTTAGGCACAGCATTTTAAAACCCTGCCAAGTAGGACCCCCGAGCTTCGACCCAAAACACTAAACCCCCAAACCCCAACCCTGTAGACCCTCGACTCTAACATTTTGAGCCATGGAACGGGCCCCTGTAAATTCCAGATCCGACCCCTTCAAAATTCCCATAAATTCCCTGATTTTTCCCATTTCTCCGGGCCCGACCCGCTCCTTTGACGGCCTTTTTGTTCATTTTTCCTCGGGAACCTCCAAGGGCACTCACCTATATAGGTAGAGGCTATGTAATGTTCACATGAATTCAAAGGGTGCTTTTGGGGGTGATTAATAACCCAATTGTACACAGCATTGGGGTTGTATATCGGAGGTTCCTTCGGGCTAGGGGTCGCGCCTTGGAAGGGGCTTCCGAAACGAGGGGTGCAACATCTTTACGTATGAGTGCTTGCTCGGTTCCTTAGCTCGTTGGCCTTTTTATATGCTTTCGCAAAAGCTGGTATATGTCTTTCTCCTCATGTTGCACCCCTTTGTCTCGGAAGTTCCGACCTTCGGATCCGGTTTTTTGTGGAATTAATCCTTTCTATTATAAGCTACGAGCACCTATACATATATACATTCAGAAAGGATTCCCCAAAATGGCACAGCGGAGGGGGGGGATAACCGGGCGGGACTTCGGTCCCCGGATGCTGCAGGTTAACCCTCCTCGACGTGGGTCTGTGGTTTGAGAAATGCTTAAATTTCTCAACCCGTTTTGTATCCCCGGCCTAGCCCCTTTGCTCCATAGCCAGTCTCTTCCATGGTGTAGGTTGGAATGTTCATGGAAGTGTATATATATATATGTATATGTAGATGTGTATTTAGAAGACCTACGGGTCCGTACTTTGGCTAGGTAGTATGGGTCGCGTATGGAGCAAATGGGGTCGCTGACTTCTGTGGGTCTGGCCGCTAATTAGCCCCGCTGCGCTGTTTCGAGTTTGTTGTCCGCGTATAGTACTAACGCCGTGATCACTGGGAGTCAGGGTTGTTCTTGTCGAGGGGCGGATAGGCGCGTAAGCGATATAACCCCGATTTTAGACTGTTACAGGGTGGGGGCAGTACCCAACCTAAACCCCAGTCTTCCTGCAGGTTATTTCTTACTTTCGGGCCGGGATTCAGGCCCATGGAGTGAAAAAGCTCGGAGACTTTTTAGGCCCTGAACCCTAAACTGTACCTATCCCCTACAAGTTCCTCAAGGGGACCTTAGTACTAAACCCTAAACCCCAAACCCTCAGTGAGGGCCCGCAGCTCACCTTTGTCAGAGGTTGGGATGCTCTTCTTATGCAGCTATTATATAAGGCTATGTAAGGTTTAGAGTTTAGGGTATAGAGGGTATATAGGATAAGGCTAGAAAGGGTATATAGGATAGGAGTATATAGGACATTTAGGGTTTAGGGTCACTAGAAACAGGTTTCGGGCCTCGCTGCTTTCCTTGACAGTGATGATCATCCAGCAATCTCCTTCCCTGCCATACAAGATACAACACCCTCCCTACACCCTAAACTCTGCTTACCTTGGCTCAAATATTCCTTGATAGAGTATTCATGCATCATCGTGCTTGAAAATAGTTGATCTTTGGGGGCAGGGGTGTTTCATATCAATTTCAGATAACAGGGGAGTGGGGAAGGCGCTGTGTCCTTTGCTTCGTCTGCTTGGCAAACTCTTCCTCTTCCAATGCTTCAAAGGCCCCAACAAGCCAAAGTAAGAGGATCCGTATACGGATAACCCAAAGGTATGTAGCATGTTGAGAAGCCCTTCAGACCCCTATACAACCTGAAGCCCTGAATATCCCTATCTATCCCTGTAAAGCCTCCTTAAACGCCCTCAAGCGTTACACCGTAGGCCCGAACTAGGCAGAAGTCAGCCAGGTCAAGGACATGCAGCGGAAGATGAACGCAATCATCTCAGTACGTACAGCTGTGCCGATTACGGCGGTGCCCGCGCACGAAGACGTCATGTACATTTAGCCGAGCTGGTCTGTGAGTTATAAGGGTTCAGGTAGTTTTTGGGATCTGTGGAGAGGCTTTCTAGCAGTATGGGGGATCTAACCTCTATGTATATGTGTATATATATTTATGTATATGTAGATATGCAGCCCCTTATATACCCGGGTGTCGGAAACGCTATAGTACCCACGTAAGCTCCACCTGTGTGGACCCATCGAGTGGCACGACGACAAGTGGAAGTTTCTCAAAAGAATGCTTCTTCCATGGGTCACCGAGAGGGACTCCACAGTTAAGGTTTAGGGTTTAGCGTCGAAGGCGCCTCATCGCCCGCGCACTACTGAGAGTCAGCCCACTCCCAGGGGTCTGCCGTCTGCGGGCGGCGGCACATCCTGCGCCAAGCGACCCTCGCACGATGTTTGAGAATCCATCCAAGCTGGGAACTCTCAACATTGCACTCAGCATGAGGTATCACAGGCTACCACCCAAACCACGGGCCTCCCACAAACCCTCTCAGAAACCTCCTCACAGCAGGTTGTCTGAGCGCAAAGGTCCCCGGTCAAGGAAGTTGCCGCAGCCAGGTGGCCAGGACCTCGCCCAGGTTTTGAGGTCGAGTTGTGGGACCACTCTAGAATTTTGAACCTTGGGTTTATAGGGTATCAGCACAAGTGACATCAATGCAATTGTGGATATTTAGCCCAGCTAGAGCTGGCTGGAAGCTAAACTGTGCTTCCTCATGTATGGGAGGAGCCCAGAGGGCCTCTATTCGTCCACTCTCCGTTGTCTTACCCAGTGCGGTGTAAAGGCTGACGTGTATCGTCAGTGTCTGGTCAGTGTCTGATCACCCTAGTAATGGGTGAGAACGGCCTAAGCAGGCCGGGTGGGAATTTCGGGTTTGGGGTTGTTTCCATGACTCCGTAAGAGGACCCCAATATTATCCCCTCAAAGTCCTTGTGTGTCCCTGAGGTCCTCTATGGCACCCTGTTTTGAGAAACACCCAGGTCAGCATTGAGCCGGGTTCAGTGGCTTGTTTTTGGTCGCGCACACTGTCCTTGATATTTCCGGCGGTCAGGGATCTTTGCGTAGCATTCCATGACGTGTAGACTTATTAGGTGACATGAGTAATTACAAGCCTGATTTGGAAGTCCATGGGTGCTCATAACTTAGAAGTGAAGTTAGAACCCAAATAAGTACACCCAAGAGGACGCAGAGGGCAGGGCTTACAATTGAGCTCCTAAAAGCGTGACAAGTCGGCTATTAGTACTTATATGGGCATCTACGAAGGCCCTACTAGAGCACTGAAGGATTGAATCCTTAACCAAAACCCTATTCGGAGCTCAGCGGAAAGAAATGATCCTTGGGAAACAAGGGAACTTCACCTGAAACTGTGTTTGGAGAAAGTTTTCTCTGGGTCATGCAATGGTTCACGGCGACTGCATCCAGAACAAGCCAAACGCGCAGTAATTTCCGTCAGAGAGGGAAGCCTGACAACTACTGACAACTACATTTGGGTGTGACTCCGGGCAAGGGCTGGCTGACAGCTTTGTTCTTAAGCTTACCAATGCATTATTGTTTGTTTTGGGGGATGGGGGATAAGATGGAGACTGCTCTAGGCATCCATTTCCATTCCATACCAGACCACCTGTGGATAGATCATGCCACCAGGTGGTAAAACACATTTTTTTGGTAGTCTTTTATAAGCCCAGGACATGCGTTGAGATAAGGTGTTAGTAATGATGCGGGAGGTATACACCACATTCTCTACGGTTGGGTTTAGGGTTAGCGAAGACCCTGCGGGAGTCATATGGTGTAGTTACATTTTGTTTTGGGGAGTTTGGGATACTGAATTCATGATGCTGGTGTCTCAGTATCAGATTTCTTGGGGGGGTGCGTTTTGAAGTGCTGAATGCATACTAAGCTGGGCGCATGGCTAATTGTTGTGCCATTGCGAACCCTGATGAACGTATGTGGTATATCATATGTTGAGACTCATAGACACTGCCGAACCTTAAACTCTTTAGACCTTAATTCTACACGACAAGCCAGAACCTTGAGGAGCCATACTCACGCACGAAGAAACAGCTGCCATACACTGCTCCGAACGGAGCCGTCGGCTCTACTGTCAGTTCCCCCAGTCTACACTTCGCTACAGTCTAAACTCCTGAAAGGGGATCATGTAGGGGAGTATTATAGGGGTCATTAGGGGGGATACCAGGAGTTCAGATTCTAACACTTATTGTTTGAGATGTTGGTCCTCAAATTCGGCTGCTCGTTGTCTTGTCTGATCAGTCGTTGGGGGACCTAGACAGTAGCTTATAACAGTCCTTCGCCATGTTCTTTGGACGTCAATCGCCAAAGGCTATGTGGCTTCTGTGCTAACCAGCACAAAGGAGAGGACTTCCCCACCCGTCCGCATGTGAAGTGCGCGGAGTCTGTATATTGCTTTCTCGCAGAGCGAGAAGAAGCGACGATTCAAGTCCTGAGAGTTTCTCAAGTCGTCAAATTATCCCTATTTAGTCCCTATAATAACAGCGAGGTTGCCATCATTCCCTTATAGTCCCTATATATATCCCGAGAGTCTCTTGGGTCCCCCTACTTTGCGAAACTCTCTGCTGCTGCCTGCGCATGCCCCGTGCCCGGTTGTATTTGCCAGGGCATGCGGGAAATCCAGAATTGGGCCGGCATTGACGAAGCAGTGCGAGGGGTTGATCTAAATTTCAAAAAGTCTGCTCTTGCAGGTCTACATGTGAATTCACTATTCTAGGCTACATTTATGCAGCCTTTTTGGGCACAGGAAACTTGACCAACTATCATATGTCTTCATAGCTGTACTAATCATACATCTTGTCATGCGTCATTGGTGTTAGGTCTTCACGACTTAGCAGTGACTCGGACATGTCGTTCTGAAGTTCTCAGATCCTTTTTGTGATATTCCCGCTGCTGCATGTTTTCTACAACTCGTGTCTAGCTGCGCTCTGAAAAGGCCTGCATCATTGGATCTCTGGCCCTTAGCTCACGAATAGGTGGTAACAACTCATGCGGGCTCCTGCGTGGACTGCTTGAGATTTCCATGGAACTTACGATCTCATTCTAAATGGGCTTTTAATCGCTTTTTATAGTACAGGGGGAACGGACTTATGTTAGGTTTTGTAAGCCCTGTTATAACTAGCTACTGAGTCCCATCAACCTTCATGTAGAACCTGACAAAAAAGAAGACAACTCCACATGAAGCAAACCCTAAACCCCTAAGCCCTAAACCCCTAAACCCTGTCGAGTTCCCTGAAGTCCTGTCGCCTGGCGGCGGCTAAACACCTTGGAGATCCAATCCTAGAAATCACAATAATTTTGGGCCCTAAAGTTTATAACTAGTACCTATTGTGGGCTATCTGGGGCTCTAGAAAGGAAGATCAAGGCTAGAAATCAGGTTACTTTGAGGGTCCTAAGGTCTGTGAATTGTACTTGTTTTTGGGCTATCAGGATCCCTATAGAGATTTGAAAGTTATCCTAGACGATCATGACCAGTGCAGACCAGACCTTTCAGCTCCCTTTCTCGCGGTTTAGGGTTTAGGGTTTAGGGAGGGTTATTTCATGGGTTACAGGGGTTAGTATCCTACTTATTAAGACCAAAAACTAAACCCTAACCCCAAAGCCCTAGCCCTCCAAGTATGGTTTCCCAAATTAATTTAGCTCCTACCGGGACCTCCAGAAGTAGGTAAACTGGGTAACCCTGAGGGTCCAAGGACCCAAATAATAGGTTTTTAGGGCCCAGATGCCATTAATATTGTAGTATTTGTGCCCTAAAACCTTATTATTTGGGTCCTTGGACCCTTAGGGTAATTTACGTTGCCAGATTATGGGTAGAGAGTAAATCATGGGGTTGCCTTTTTGTAGAAGTCTAATCAAGCTCCTTGACAGCAACCCGGGCAGATAATGGCCCAAACCCCTTGGACATACGGTGGGTACTAAAAATCCTGCATGACCTTAAGTACCTTATACCTTGGGAATAATGGGAGTATAGTATAGTAAGGTCATGCAGGATTTTTAGTATCAACAGTATCCCCCCAAGGAAGCCATTATTGTAAGTACAGTTTAGGTGTGAGGCAAACCATAGGCGCCATAAGTCCGTGCGGTCTATTCCGAGGGATCTGCTTTTCTCAGGTTTAGCGGGCGGCTACCGTGAGGTCCATGGGTATTTACAACCTACGCATAACTGTGCTTTTACCCTAAACCCTAAACCGTTAACTCAATTAGCAGACCCTTATAAACTCCCAAAGATGGGAGTCATTGGTGTATAAGAACAGCTATGGTTGCGTTATTTATGGTTAGCTCTAAAAAAAAGCAATTTTTTAGTGTGGTTAAGGGTTGAGGTTTTGGGGTAAAGGGTTCCGTTTTTTTTGGTTTAGAGCGTATAGGGCTTAGGTTTAGAGGTTTGAGGGTTAAGTTTTCAGGGCTTGGGGTCTAGGGCTAAGGATGTAAGAGTTTCCGGGAAAGGACCCATAATGTTTCGCCACCTTGAAGTCCTTCGGGTTTAGGGTTTAGGGTTTAGGGTGAACCAGCTGTAGTTGCAAATAGGTAGGCTTAGGCTGTAGGTTTTGGAGCCCTAGTGTGAACCCTCAAACCCCTGAATGCCTAGAGACTTGAAACAACTGCAACAAGGAAAGGGGATTTCTATGGAGTCGGGAAATACGAATTCCCTGCTAGCTTCAGTAAATAAGCAGACCCCAATATAGACAGTAAAATGGCAAAATCCGGGCTTTGGGGCCTCCAAGCAAAGCCTGTCTTTACAAATTGCCATGCATTTAGTTGTTGATCGGAAAAGGGTGCCCATAGAAGGTCTGCGATTTGGGAACAGTATTCTCAAGAAGTTGCCAAGTCCGAATGCCGGCGGCGTTCTGGCGCGCGCGTGTTGTCAGCAAAGTGCGCATGGAGTGTCCGGATCGCTTAAGGAGAAACTCGAGCACAGAAGCTGGTGTGTTATTGGCAAAGGTATTCTGAGGTCCCTTGTACTCAGTAAGTATCATGAT